GGCTCGGTTACACTCCAGCTGTTTCCCCGCCAAAAGAGCGAGTCGCGGTGAAGTAATGCCCGGTACATGGCCAAGCCAGCTCCGCGGAGCTTGAGGTTGCACCCGCAGTCTCCACCCAGGCACGGCCGCCCGTAGCGGGAGGGTCTCTCCGCCAGCGCCGCAGTGACGGCTTGCAGCACCGCGGAGCTGGCGGAGGGACCCGCAGTCTGCACCCAGGAACGGCCGCCCCTAGCGGGAGAGTCCCTCCTCAAGCTCCCGATCCCGCACCGCAACCCACTTGGAGTGTATACTGATTGGCGCTCACACGTTGTGAAGTGTAACTTTATACTTTGTTGTAGGCTAATATAGAAAACTGAACACAGCCACAAGTCACGGCATTAGGCTAAAACACTGACATTAATAATGAAGTTACTCACGTGCTAGTCTTTGTTCAATGCGTTCTAAACAGAACCTCAACTCATACAAAAAGTACTTAAAAACGTTTATGCAGATAAATCAAGTCAGCCCTTGTCTATCTCCATATATTAAATGTTGACACTCTTAAGACTATCTCCTGGGCCAAGCTGCAACACGATTTCGCCACATTATGTCTGCAATAGTTAAGATAGCATTAGCTAACATTAGCTAACGTTAGCTAATGTTATCTTAACTAGCAAGCATATAAACCTTGAGATTAAATACAACAAGACAGCAAAACGATTGGGATGTTAATATGTACTCACCAAAGCAGTGTGCTAAGCACAAGATTCACTGTAATGCGACAATGACAATGACCATAGCGGCTAGTAGCCATTGGGGAAACGTCCATCTGCTGCAGGGCATGTTCGTAAATGTTCCAGAAAGTAACTTTGAGCGCCAAGTAGTCAAGGAGTGATCTGCGCAGCCCCCACCCTCTGGAACGCTCTCCCTGCGGAGATACGCAACATCCCCACACTTGAAGCCTTCAAAAGGGCCCTCAAGTCCCATCTGTTTGCCAAGGCTTTCGGCCCCTAAATCGATCTGTTGTTCTGTTTGTCTGTCTTTTGTTTTGTTATGTTTGTCTTTGCACTATTACTTGTGAAGCGACCTTGGGTCCCCTGAAAGGCGCTATAGAAATCGAAGCTATTATTATTATTATTATTATAATGTTCCCCATTTCCACTAACTTAGTTTTTCTAAATTAGCTCACATCAATTACATTGAGTTAGTTAGGTTTTTCGACCCCGCATTACAGCTTAATTATTTAAACTGAGTGTTATTAACAAGTTAATAAAACATAAGTAAGGCTTACTTATTCATTCTTATTTAACACGATGTTAGGTTTTACAGTATCATGACAGGGCACGAAATCACTTAGGCCTACCTTTGATGATAAATCACTGAAACACAAAGTCCATCCTCCTGTCCTTTTGGATGAAGCACTTGCTTCAGCTGATCCTTTGCCACTCAATCTTGAAAATGACTCGGTTAATAATTTCGCAACGATGTCATCACTATCACTGAAGTGAGCCATCATGAACGAATTTATGCTAATTATAAATCTATCGATCATAAATCTATCGATTAGATTTATGATTCGAAAATAATAAAAGTAGGGTAGACATGTGGATATTATCCGGCTGAACAAAACGTGCATTTATCTAACAGGTTAGTTTTCCACAGACCTTATTTCGAGCTATTTTCCAAAATTCTATGGAGAAATCCCATTGCTTTCTGTCGAGGGAATCCGAGCGAAGCTTACTTCCGGGTTTTAGGATGCGTCACTGCACCACTTGCATAGACCAGAGCCCTAGAGAGATAGTATCTCTAGGGCTCTGGCATAGACCTCACAGCGGGCGGAACTAGTCATAAAGTCCGCGAAAATAAAGCCCACCCATTAGAGGGAAGATATGATTGGTCAATTGTAGTCATTTGACATTACTCTCTCATTGAGTTACTATTCTTTCACACACAGTGACGTCACGAGCTACCCACAATGCAACGCGCGCCATATATATATATATAAATACGCCATTTTCCTGGAGGTGCTAATATCCTGGAGGTGCTAATATAAACAGCTAGGTAACGTAGCCAGGCAGAGCGCACTAGGTTTTTTTTTCTGAATTAACGACCAAAGAAATCGCTGCATGTCTTCGGATTACATCTCTGGACTTGAGGGGTGTGCTCTAGGTCATTACCAGCGTAAACTAGAGCTGTGTGGGTTGTCCGATTGCCCTTACAGACTGCCTGCAGATGTATGGAAAAACGACTCTCGAAAGTGGCCTTTGGTCGATTTTGGCAGCATCTACGTCTATCTTCTGGAAACACCAGGTGAATACCCCACTTGTCACAATAATATTATCATGCCAATGCATATATGTGGTATTTTAGAGTTGACTAGATATTGATTAAGGCAATAGACTATGATATTCTGCTTGCACCTCGTGTGAAATGGCGGATACCGGAAGTACGGTGTCGCCCTCGGCCCAAAACCCATATGTGTGTGTGAAAGAATAGCGGGCCCTCTTGTAGAGAGGGACCAACAAGCTCTCCCGTCTTCACATAACTCGCAGAGACGGCATTTAACCCTTCACATTCTAACAGAAACTGAACAGGCAGGTTCGAAGGATTTATTTATTTGAAAATATTATTGTAAATACAATTAAATCAAGTTATTTTGGTAAAACTAATGAAAAATGTAACAACAAAAAATATAATTTTTTTTAATTTTTGTAATGTTTTCAAATATTATTTTTTAGAATATCTTAGGCCCTCACAGAGGGCCTAGAGGGCCCTGACGGCTCGCCACTGACTAAATGATTTACAAATAAACACCACTGCATATTTACAACTGTTACACATGCTGATGTAACGCAAATGTTTGTGAATGCGTATGTTACCTCATTCACACCAACGCAACTCCGGTTCAAGCTCCGTGCTAGAGCTTTTCAGGTTCAGAACCGGTTCTTCGGTTTAGCTCCAGCTCTTTTCACACTGCCCAGAGTCCGACTGGTGCTACGTCATTGCGTCATGATTTGCGTCATGACGTAACCGTTTGTGTGCCTGCTTCATAAAACCAAACCGCGCGGATGCCACGGAAACCCCTCACAGCTCACACCATACATCCATGGCTCACACCGACAACAATGGCCGATTGTGCTCCAGCTTCCTCTGTACCTCTTCGGAAGACCAGATTCCCAGTAGGTAGCTGGTCTCTTCAGTGGACCACTGCTGCTTGTTAAGTTTCTTCATCGTTGTGCACAAACTGGATAAAACGCGGGCTTTTTGTTGTTGTTCAGGAGTTGATCCCGCACCTGCCCCCGCCTCAACGTAAGCGGTGCTTTTGCTCTAGCCGGACAATTTTTTGGTGCTTGAAACGAACCGGATTCCGGAGCTAAAAGGCTGCTCCGCTGCGGTGTGAACAGGAAAACCCGGTGCTTTTCAAGCTCCAGCTCCGAACCGGTCCTGAAACACCGTTGGTGTGAATGAGGTATGCTGGAGTTACAGTAGGTAACTTCAGCTCCCTTCCTTGTGTGTCTCCCACTCCTGTGATTGTCGACCACGCCCCTGATTGTTTCCACCTGTTCCCCATTACCTGGTGTATTTATTGTCCTCGTCTCCCTTTGTCCTGTGCCAGTTCGTTTCGTTTCTTGTGACAGTATACCAGCGTATCATGCCAGAAAGAATCCCAAGCAAAGCTTTGAGCCACGTCTTGTCTGAGTATTTGGTTATTCATGCTCCTAGTGTTTTTCCTCGTTAAGAGTGACTTTGTTTTGTTAGTGTTTTTCCTCATTAAGAGTGACTTTGTTTTGATACTGTTTTTCCTCATTAAGAGTGACTTTGTTTTGATACTGTTTTTCCTCATTAAGAATGACTTTGTTTTGATACTGTTTTTCCTCGTTAAGAGTAATTTAGTTTTGTATACCACTGTAGTTGAGCTTTGGTTTGAATAAACCTTTTTTCGTTAAAACCTGTGAGTCGTGCATTTGAGTTCAAACCCGTTTATTCAGTCGTAACAGTGACCCTCATCTTATCAGAGATGGCAAAAGTACACACATCCTTTACTCAAGTAGAAGTAGAGATACTCATGTTTAAAAATACTCTTGTAGAAGTACTGACTAAACTTCTTTACTCACGTAGAAGTAAAGAACTTTGAAATGTACTTAAGTAAAAAGTACCCATAACGACCAACTGTTTTAAAGAGTTTATATTAATACTAATATTAATAATAGTTTATATTAATACTATATTAATATATTAACTCCCTTTATATTAATAGAACAATAATGTCATTGTTAGCTAATGAAGCAAACACAGATTAAAACTAAAGTAACCAGCCTGTTTTGAAAATGTAAGAAGTAGAAAGTACAGGTATTTGTCTTCAAAATGTAAGAAGTAAGAAGTCGTCAGAAAAATAAGTATTGGAGTAAAGTACTGATACCATAAAGATGTGCTTAAATACAGTAACGAAGTATTTGTACTCCACCCAGCTCTGCATCTTATAAAGGGTGAAAACGTAAATGTACCAGTTTGAGTGTGGTCTGAAGAGGTCCTCATGTATGGAATAAGTATGGATAACACAATATTCATGTCTTTATTTGTGTAGTTCTTTAAAAAGTACTGAAATGTCAGAGCTTCGATACACTAAATGACTGGGGACTTTTAAACTAGTTTCTGTTCTCTGAAATACATTTGATCTGTACCATTATCCTTCACCATGTCATAAATCTGTGTTTATGACACAGATATAATATGTCTTGATAGAGCTGCTTATGTGCATGTTAATAAATGAACAAACACAAACTGTTGACATGGTTAAAAGCATACTTGTGCACGATTTATAAGCAGGAGAATTGAACACATTGTACGTGTCGCTGTATTGACTTTTCGGTTGGTGCTATTTTCAGTGTGCTGTCCTGGTAAAAGTATCAGGGTGAAATAACCTCAGGGCATGATGGGGGCTGCACTGGATCAATGGCTTCAAACGGAGTCCTAGTTCGCAACAGCATGGAAACAGTGTCAGCTCCAGCACTCAGTGAGGTCTCATCGTTTCCAAGGGACAACAAATGAGCCCTGATGTCTCCACGAAGGAGTCTGCTGTTATATAATAGCTTTATGCTGAAGCACGTGAGACAAGGACCCTAGAAAACATGTAAGTAAAACATATTTTTTGACTTTTCACCTTTCCTGGCTCCTAAATGGTTGAATAAGCTCCCCATTGATATCAAGAGAGCGGAAACTCCTCCAGTCGCAAACTGAAAACCCATCTGCTTCGATTGTACCTTGGCAATTTAACTCTAAATAAATAAACAAAGGGTTAATTTAGGCCTTGTAACTAATTCACCAGAACTTAATATGGTATGATCTTGCTTGAAGTGAATATATCTGCACTTTCCTTGTTGTTTTGATTCTTTATGTTTTTTCACTTATTGTAAGTTGGTTTGGATAAAAGCGTCAGCCAAAGGAAATGTAGGCCTAATGTAGAAAATGTAATGCAATGAAAAGCCTTAAAATTGCTTTTTCTTCATCAACAGATAATAATAATATGACAGAAGATGGGGGATTGGAACTTATTAGGGAGTATTTTAGAAGAAGTCCACATTCATTCCACCATCGTGGGGAAGATCTGGCTCACCATCCTCTTCATTTTCCGCATGCTTGTGCTCGGCGTGGCGGCTGAGGACGTGTGGGACGACGAGCAGAGTGAGTTTGTCTGCAACACGGAGCAACCCGGCTGCAAGAACGTCTGCTACGACCAGGCCTTCCCCATCTCCCTCATCCGGTACTGGGTGCTGCAGATCATCTTCGTGTCCTCGCCCTCTCTGGTCTACATGGGGCATGCTTTGTACCGTCTGAGGACCCTGGAGAAGGAGAGGCACAGGAAGAAAGCCTGTCTGAAGGCTGCGCTGGAGAGCACGGACCCCTTGCAGCAGGAGGACCATAAGAGGATCGAGCGAGAGCTCAGGAAGCTGGATGAACAGAAGAAAGTGAGGAAGGCTCCTCTGAGAGGCTCGTTGCTCCGCACATATGTTTTCCACATCTTAACCAGATCTGCGGTGGAGGTGGGTTTCATTATCGGTCAGTGTGCTCTGTACGGCATCGGTCTATCCCCTTTGTACAAATGTGAGCGGCTGCCCTGCCCCAACAGTGTGGATTGTTTTGTGTCCCGGCCAACAGAGAAGAACATTTTCATGATCTTCATGCTGGTTATTGCTGGAGTGTCCTTGATCCTCAACCTCCTGGAGATTTTCCACCTGGGGGTGAAGGAGATCAAACAGAGCCTGTATGGATACAAATATGGAGACGATGAGAGCATGTGCCGGTCTAAGAAGAACTCCATGGTGCAGCAGGTGTGTTTGCTCAATAACTCCTCTCCGCAGAGGCTGATGCAGCTCACTCAGATGACCTGCTCTGCTGGCTCTGATGCCCAAAGGGGGAGTGTGGCCCCTCACAATAAGGAGGGCTCCAACAGCCAGCAGCCTGCACACACATACCTGCAGCATGTCCATTCAGTGGACAACAGGAAGCCATCCTGCAGCAGTGACGAGTCCAATGAAGCGCACGGCTCAGGCCGGCCCCAGTACGCCGGCCCCCGACCCACACTGATGGCCGGACACATGGAGATCCCCGCCGCCCTGAGGAATGCCCAGAGGAAGCAGAGCAGAGTGAGTAAGGATTACAGCGACATGAGCGACTCTCCGGAGAGCGACCACTACCCCACAGCCAGGAAGTGCAGCTTCATGTCCCGGGACCTGTCGGACGGCATGCTGGCCTCCACGTCGGACAGCACCGGCTCCCAGAGCGGGGCAGACTTGGAGGCCCAGCACCTGAACCAGGGGGAGAGCCCAGCAGTGACCCCCCCACCCCCAGCCAGCGGGAGGAGGATGTCTATGGTGAGCAGAGACGTGGTTTATGTATCTGCACTGTTAAGGTTACTTTAATTATTTGTAAAGTATTAGGTTGGTTAAAAGAAATTAAGTTTACATAGGTTGAACTTAATATTATTGCTTTCAACTAACCTAATACAGTTATGTGAAATCTGTGGATATAATACATTTAATTAAAGTCAAAGTGTTTTTCAGTGTGGAGCCCTTATATGAATAAAAAGTATGACTATAAATCAAATCAAAGCTGTTGGCTTTACAGATGAACCAACATAGATGACAGTGTAAAATATCATTACATTTACCAGAGAATTCTAAAATATACGATTAAATGTGAAATAGATCAAGAGAATGAGGTACAATAAAAAGACAGTACAATGACAACAAAAACAATCAAATAAAATACCATAAAATGTAGGACTCAGGACCCAGCTCTACAGGCTTTATTACAAAGAAAGGTTTTCAACACTTAACATTTTGGACACTGTCTGCCTTCCCTAGAAATACATTTTAATAAAGAAGTACAATCAGTAGAAAAATTCAACTAAACCCCAGACTAAAAATGTATGTTTCACTCATGGAAGTTTCAAGATGCCTAAAAAAAGAACATCAAACAAAGGAACTATAACACATCGTCTGTGATTCCATTTTATTTATGACTGCCTTCAGCAGAGACAGAATCAATATTCAGATTCTTTACTGAAGTAAAAGTAGAAATAAGATGATTTAAAAATACTCCATTACAAGTGAATCTGATTAATACAATTTTTTACGTAAGTAGAATTCCAGCAGTATTATAAGCAAAAGGTATCAAAAGTAAAAGTTCTCCTTATATATAATGGATTTTTTCATAATAGATCAGTATTATGGTTCTTTTTATCAGTAACAAATACATTTCATATCAAATTAAATTTGAGTCAATTTAAGTTATTTTAAAGTACTGGGTATTGGTAGTAGTACAGTAGCCTACTGCATCAGAGGCATCATCATGTATTTTATATGTACTAAGTAACTAGTAACTATTAATGTTAAATAAATTAAGTGGAGTAAATAATACAATATCTTCCTCATTTTCAATATTTTCCTCAAAAATGTAATGGAGTAAAAGTATATGTAGCGTTGTCAGCACTTGTCAGTGACACTGAGTTGGGGGGTCAGCAGGAGTAGGTCGCCCCCTGCTGGACAGCACTGGAACATACTGCAGCTCTCCACTGCTCTGTCAGAATCAGAACTCCTTCATTAGTCCAGCGGGGAAATGTTTTACAGCAAAAGTGGCATAGCACTAGCAGGTCAAAACAGGCTTGCAATAATAAAGAGCAAGCTAACTTATTAAATATAGAGAAGAAAAGCACACAGTAATAAAATACACAGCCATACGTACACAGCCAAATGGCTCAAAAATAAGTAGCAGCATTTCAAAAAAGTGACATACTACTTATGTCACTTTAATACTTATAAAAATGTTGGACATTATGAAAATGTATGTTTTTTTCACATAATATAATTGAAATATTGCTAAATTGTGATTGGAAGAAAGTCACATTCATTCTAATTCAGCTTCGCCCACTTCAAACAGTTGAGAGAGGAGCTCTCAAATATATGAAATCAGTATGTTAAATCACCAAAACTGAGTCCATGCAGAACCTATGACAGAGGCAAGTTGGAAAAACTCAATTCTGGTGCTTATATTGAAATCTGATCTAAATCTTTCTGTATGTATGACTAACACATACAAAAAGTGGTTTTACAGTATTTCTTAGTACCTTTTTCTCTTCTGTGAAAACAGCTGGGTAAAAAGAGTTTGGGCAGGTACATTAAAAGATACTATTTAGAGCAGGGCAGTGGTGCCGTTCAGTGTTATGTGCATGCCCAAATGAGTTTTAAAAACAATGGACACTTGAGGATCCTGGCCGAAATGTTCTTTTGCCAAACTGTATCCACCTGTTTCAAAGAAAAACAAGCGTCTGTGATTTGGATAATAACCATGTTTTTCCCAACCATCTCTTTTTCTTTTAGAGCATGATTCTGGAGCTGTCTTCAATCATGAAAAAGTAGATTGAAAATCACCGTTTTGTGGCCCAGCTGGAGACATACAGAAGTTCAAAAGCGACAGAGGGATCCTGATCCCAAAGAACACTTCAACATTTTCTTAATGTTCAATACTAATGATATCTTCAGCACCTGATACTTTTATATTGGTCATTTGCAAGCCACTTGCTTAATCAAATATGAATCAAATGTATATTTGGCTTAAAGCATAATATCTCATATAATGAGACCAAAAGCCTGTTGAACAGATTGGCTATGTGACTGAAGATTGTCATTTAAGATTGTGGCATTGGCAACCACAAATGAAGAAGAGGGAACTCTCTTCTCAACTGTTTATCAAACCCCATGACCCACAGGAAAAAAGGGCTCTTCAAATTCAACATTTTGTTCAACTCAGTCGCCTCAAATTGTTTATGAATACATCTGACAATGTTTCTGATGTCCTGTTGTTTTTCTTCTAATAAACAAAAATAGTTTAGTCTTTTTTTATTTTGTATTACGAGATTATAATGACAATCCCATGACTTAATTTTCATCATATTATTTTCTTTTACAGTTAGAAAGGTATGGTGGCCAACATTAGGAGAAGGAACAATAATGTGCCGAAACATGCAAATAAAGAGACATCTTCACCAACCTAGACATTTCAACTGCACTGACAAACTCTGACAGTTCTGAAATACACCAGCTCTGCCAACAGTGACAGTTGGCCAACTCCGGTCCTAGCTGTGTGCGTCACTTTTTAGTGTCCCCTGGTTTCTGTTGTGCCTCTTGAAGCATTTTGTTTATGCAGCGCTTTAAGTAAACAATGTTTCGTGAAGTCGGTGAATGTTTTCTAAATGCAGCATGTGTTGTCACCTTGGGGAAGATGCTTCATCAGTTCTATGTGTTTTGGCACATTTGTGTTTTGATATTTACAGTGTTTTTGAAACCGCAGCATGTTTCTTCTAGTGGAAGTGTTTTGGGCCGATGTAACGCACTTGCTCCGATCAACCACCGTAGAATGGGCTTCCATAGGAAGAAGAACCAACATTACGTGTGCAGAAACACAACTCCAGATGAATGCTAATGTTGCACCGTGTGTGTGTGTCGGATCAATTCATGCATGTTTAATACTGACCAACATTTGGTCTCATTTTTCCAAAACCACCCTCAAAACACAAATCATGATATGCATGTTTCTTTATTTCATAAAGAGAAATGGTGTCTAGACAAAAGAGTCATTTATATAACACAAGCAATTGAAATGAATGAAAATGGGGTTTGCACAATACCATATTTACAATGGTTTTTAAGTCATTTTAATTAATTAGGGTCATGTAGCATTTCAAAATGATAAAGGTAAGAACTCTTAGTAGAGTGAGAAATAACAGCTATTTCAAATTGACAATTATTAACACAAAACAGTCATCTAGAAAAATGAAAACAAAAAAACAACTTGAACTACAAGCTTAAGAGCTATTACATAAAAAATGATGCACCAAAATCTACTAATACAAGAATCCATATAATCTGTGTAAAAAGCATGTAGAAAAACACCTGATGCGGTTTGCTGATACAGTCATTGACCAGTTATGAGAGGTATGAAGGATTTCACAGGTAGATAAGTGTGAGGAAGTCTGCACTGGTGACTCAGGGATGGGGGCCGGGCCCCTGCATACACTCACTTCACTTGAATGTGAACTATGGCCTCTGCAAGTTCTAAGGCAAATATCGGAGGTGCACTCGTATCCATGTAATGCTGAGCCATCCCACAAGTTGGAATAAAGACAAGGTGAGGAAACGTTGTCTCTTTCCACGACACCAAGGACCAGTCCAATTAAACCGAGCCATTTTTGCATGGCAATTGTAAACATTTTGCATTTGTATATTTTACTCAATGATCTCAGCCTGCGCATTCAACCGGGATACCAGATTTGTTTTGTTGTTTTTTCAAGAAAAGTTGAGCAATCTGTGAGAAAGATTCATATTATTTGATAGAACAACCTTTGGAGTAGAAAAGCCAGTGTTTGTTTCAGAGAAGCAGCAACACAAAAGTTCAATTAAACAAGACAAATACACAGCAACAAGGTAGGAGCAGTTGGAGCCACTTTGCTGTAATATACATAAACAACAATTGAACCTGGAGGATTATTTGAGTTGTTCAAGCTTATTATTATATCATTTTAAAGCTGCACCAATATTTTTGATATGAAAAATGTATCAAAAGAACATTGTGTATGAGGTTGCTAAACATTTAGCAAAGATATGATCACCAACTCTACTTTTCCTTCATCTCCACTGAATATTTCAGCCTCTTTTCACTTATTATTCTTGGTTTTCCAAACAGCCCATTCTGCTGGCTCGGATACAAAGTCAGTCAGCTGGTGAACTCATGAATTGGTGGAGATCAGGAACAATGAGCTAAAAGAGGGTACATCATATCAACTCCATTCATTTGGTGACATGCACACAACTCCAAATGAATCATAATGTTGCTTTCTTTGCTCGTGGTGAAGGTTAGAAATGAATTGATGCAGCTTTAAGTCATTTTAACAAATCATTTAAAAGGGGCATTCATTTGATTTGAAAAAGTAAGTACTAAAGTAAAAAAGAAAATGTGCGTCAGAGTGATGTGAGAGCGGGTTTAGACACGAAAGGGTCGGTTCACCCAAATGACAAGATACATGTTGTCACTCACATCTATCAGTAACTATAGTTATGGTTTTATTCACCAACGTTTTGGCATTCTCTGAAAAAATACTGTTCACAGCATTCAGAGCAACAGGAGAGTACTTCCTTCAGTGGTGTGAGCACCACAAAGGCAGAATGTAAAGAGACAGATATCCCAAAACATGAACCAATAAAACCAGATCTATCTGCGTGACCAGTGTCCACAAGACATACAGGAAGTGATCATTTGTTTTTGTAACTTGAATGGACCCTTTAAATAAGAGTTGACATGTTGCAGAGGATGCCTGTTACTGCACTTTGACCGAGCAGTGAATCACCCGAGCTCCACGGGATTCGAAGGTTTGCTAAGTTGAATTATCAACATTCAATAGGTAGAAGTTCTGATATGCAAACAAAAGGATGTGATCGTATTATTAATGTGTGAGGAGACACCCAGGGGCCTTTGTTACAATAGTTTTGCTACAACACAAACTTCACAAATTAATTTTCTCCACACAGAGACATAAAGTCAGAGTCGATGCTCGCAAATGCAACACCGGGCCTCCTCAATTTAAGATTAGGCAGATGAAAAAGTACATGAATACAAAGCGAGTTGCAAAATGTTTGCATAAAAATAAGCATCTGTAATGTTTAGCTTTCTGCCTGGAACCTGGTACAATCTGTATGGGTAGATAGATACTGCTTTGCTGCAGTACATATGCATCAAAGAATGAAGAAGAGCACACAGTTGATAAAGGGCTGAACAAACAAAGAAAACACACCAGCGGATGAAGGTCCTCTACTGCTGTGTATGTGTGAGTGTGTGTGTGTGTTTGGGTCTTTGTATCTGCCTTTTAAGAAATCAAAGACGGTTTTTATAAAATACACTTAATTGTTTGGCTGTATAAAAAACAGTCTCACCTGAGACATTTCTTATACATCTATAATTATTTAAAATCAGGGGGAGAACTTTTAAACCTTTCATTCACATTTTAAAGCCCAAATCCCAGACTTGTTTGGCCAAAAAAATAAATATTTTATTTAAAAAATAGTTTATTTCAAGTAAGAAAAAAATCACCCTGAGTTGGATGGGGGAGTAGGTGGTGTAGCTAGCTGCTACAGGCTATCCTGGTAGCACCTATCTAGCATCTTAGTTTGACCTGCCATACATGGCTATAAGATTTAAATCTAATAACTACTACAAAGTCAGTTTAAGTAGAAACAAAATGATCGAAGGGAATATTCTTTAGAGTAAGGATAGTAAAACATCTCTCCGAATTACTCAATGAGAGATTACATTGATGTCGTGAAGCTAATGAAACATTAGCTTGCCTACAAGCTACATTAGCTCCAGTTAACTCAGGGATAGTCTCTTTGGATTGGGGCTTTAAAGAGCAATGAATACACTTTGAATTTGAATTCAACCTTGTGCTAGAGTACGGCCCTGAAAGCCTCCTCTAGTTAGGGTTAATATCAACTCTTTCTGCCTTTTTATACATAGACATTTCAAAAAGATATCAGTTTAAAAGCAGACTGCTTCAGAGAAGGTAAACAGAAGAAGACAAACTAACTAGGCCTAAAGCTAGGCAGCATGCATGCACATCACAAATGAGGATGGTCAAACAAATGCACAATTAGGGCAAACGTGTTACTATCTTATATGATTGTTACTCAATCAACACACAGCTTTCACGTAGAATACAATTTGAATTAGCTTATTCAATTCCTAAAGAAATACAAATATAAGGTCTAAAACATTAGCTTCTTTTTAGCTTTCGGATACATTTTCTTCATAAAGATATTTGTATTGTATATTTATATAAACAAGATTTTTCTTCTTGAAGTTTAAGTGCTCCAGTCTGAGACTTTGAGGAGGTCTGAAACAAAGACAAAGACCTTATTGAAGTGCTAAATGGCTCTGAGTGCTTGGGGCCAAAACAAAGTGCCTGACTGAAGTCAATATTTTTCTCTTTCTCAGGATCAATTCGATTTTTTTTTAAGTATCTGTCACTTATTTGTTGGCTGCACTTTTTGCTGTCGCCTAACATCTAACGGCAATATCGAATAAACCCAAAACACGTCTGCGAGAGTGTACACAAAGAGCATCTTACAATACTGATAATAAAATGTCCTCCAAACAACACAAGGCAGAACTCTTTTTTCACATTTAAAGAGGAAAGGGGGAAGAGCCTCGCGTAAAACACAACTTGAATGTCTAACTTTTATACATGCATGGGGCTAAAAATTGTACATGTGTTTTGACTGTCTGTATGTACTGCATGTGTGTGTCTTCATGTGGAGCTGATTTCCTGAGTATAGGAACGCTCACCGTGATAGGGAGCATTCGTTAGGCAGGACAGGAAACAGCAAAGCAAAGGTTTCCCCTTAGCAAAAGGTGCTTGATATAACCCCGTGAAAAAGAAACGTCTAAGCCTCTACCAGTACAAAATCACTGTTACAGTCATCATGCTCCATACTATGTACATTTCTGCCAAACAAGCACTTGAAAGTCACCGTTACAACATCCAAATACAATGGTATTGCTGATGAGTGGGAAATAAAAATAGCCATCTAACCGCCTGCAAAAAACCTTGTCCTTTAAATTCAGTGCTGAGGAAGGCAAAGGAGGAATGTTTTCGGTTACAGCCTGCACACAGTTCTCCTGTACAGAATTACAAATGCCAGACGCTCAAAGACATATTTGCATATGAACATTTTAAAAAGTCAACTGCATCTTAACTCCCCGTGTACAGAAGCTGCATTCTCATTTTTTCATGAATTAGGTTGAACATTCAGAGGATTCTTTTTTTCCTGAGTTTGAATTGCTGTGACAAAAAGGGCCACTGAGATATAGTGAGAGACGAACCACAGACAGACAGAGAGAAAGAAAAGTGAGACAGAAAGAGGTAGAGAAGATTGATAGACAGAGTGGGAGACAGAGAAAGAGGAAGACAGGAACAGAGAGACACAGAGAGCTGCTGTTTAGGTCCGATGAGGTTCCACTTTGACTTGTGATGAGTGACATGTGGGGGGGCGAGTCCCCACTGTAGAGGTTGCTGTTGGGCGAGGATAGCACCATTGTAATGTTTGGTGAGAAGTTCCCACTCTGTCGTTGTAAGAGGAGAATACCTGGAGAACAGTATTGCTGCTGTTAAGACAACTTTAGTGTCAACCGTTCAAAAAAAAAAGAAAACAGCACAAAAATACATAAATACAAACAAAGCTTGTTTTTCAGTGAACACTGGCAGAGGCTGACTGTCTCAGCAACCCTGAGAGTGGGTTTGTCAGAAGAGTGAAATTAAATAATAAAAAAAACATCAAAATCAACAACACAGAGAACCACCACTAATTAGCGCAGTCCTTCCTCGGCTGCTCATCAGTTGTACATTTGTCAGTCATTTCCTGGCAGAAATCCACCGTTACCGCCTGGTTGGATTTGACCAGCTCTGACTCATCGTACAGGCCGGCGTCCTGGCTGTCTGTTTCTCTGTCCGGCCCGTTTCTGACCGCCGAGTCGGGCTCGCTATCTGCAGCCCCGGGCGATCCGTGGAAGCTGGGCTCCGGTGTGGCAGAGCCAGAGTGGGTGGTGAGGTCGATGCTGGTGGTGTTGGGGGGGGTGTCGGTGGAGTTGGCGGGCCGCAGCACGGGGCAGTAGTGGTTGAGAGACTGGACCTGCTCAGGGCTCAGCTGCACGTCGCGGCACACCTCCTGGGACAGGCAGGAGAAGTTCTCCCACAGCTCCCCCATACACGCCTTCAGCTGGTTCCTCTCCGTCAGCAGCTTCCCCTTCTCACACACCTGCACACACACACAGTTGGGATTTGTACAATAGGGTTTAGTTGATTCAGGAAAAACCCTATTAGCATGAGTTTATGTGCTTTAGTTTTTGGGCAGAACCTCCAAAATAATATCTCTTAAGTGTTTTCCCTCTAAACAAAAACCCACCAACACCTACTAACATCTGAATTTTCTTTTCAAAATAACTCATTATGTCATTGTCTTTCAAAACTACTCTTATAAAGGTTTTCTGATCTGCTGGAGCTATCAACAGGATTCAACAGTTTTGTATTGTCTTTCAAAACTGTACTGAAAACACTTACTCATCCTCTTTTTGTATTTTTCTTCAACATAAATGCTTTCACTGTCATAGGTCAGTCACATCCTCTCCTAAATAATCTTTACTCTAAAACATGAATTTCTATTAATGATCAACGCGACCATCTTGCATGTATTCCCCATCCCCACACACACCAGAGGACACTAAAGGTGAGAGAGCTGAGAGAATGGAACCCATCTGAGATCAGTGAATAGTATTTCATCACATCATCATGTCCTTTTCTCTGCTCAGGTGGTGGTTGGTGTAATTGACGTGGTGTTTCATGAGCTGGACAGATAACAGGAAGTGACAGTGAGGTGGAAACTGATGACTCACCAGTTTTCTGATCTCACACTCCAGGTTCATGATGCAGTCGAGCTTCCTCTTGCGGCAGCGCTGAGCCGCGATGCGATTCTTACTCCGCCGCCTCACGTCATGGATAAACTCCAGCTGCTCCGAGGTCAGTTTGTGCATTTTCACCAACATTTGGAAGTCGTTCCGTGGAAGATTTGTGATTTGATCTACAGGGAAAGGCAGCTTTACCTGAAGAGAAAGAGAAAGAACAGACATTATGCATACCATTTTTATTTTGTATTTATTGAGCATCAATAAGGTTGGACGGAAGTTGCCCATAACGTACAAAATATCTATATATAATATGATCTTTGATGGAGTCTGAAATGTGACGCTCGGATCATTACAGACAAATGGCAGTGTTTCATACATTAACACATTTATGAACGCAATAAATATTTGATTAATAACATTAAGAATGCATTTTCTCATTTAATGATAAGAAAACCCTACATTTGCCAACCTTTAAATGGGATGTAAGATGATGCTCTGAAACAACAAAGCCCACAGGATAGTGAGGCAGAAGTCACTCAAACACTCTCCAACAGAGACAACTGAAATATGTGGGCTCCACTATTCTTTTTTTAAACTTTGAGTTTGAAAGCCCCCCGGTTGTTTAACTGGCAGTGTATTTGGGATGGGAGGAGGAGGTTGCATTATACAAATAAAAAATATTTCATTTGGTGGGTTTAAAGATTGGTTTCTAATATTTGAATACTTTTTCAGACCCAAAATCTTTAGAACAGAACAGAATGTCGTTTTTCTCCAGATATGGGCTGAAAGACAACTGTGGATGTCAAGTTGTGTTGTTGTTGTCGGAGGGGCAAACAGAGACACTTTCTCACTTCAACACCATAGACATGGGGCAATTTGGGGGCCTTGCCCAACACTTCGACATTATGATAACTTTACATTGGACTCCATACTTTGGAGCCAACATCACTTTCAAATCATTCATAACCCAATGTTATTACTCAGTTCTTGTACTTAAGTAAAAGTAGAAGTACCAGAGTGTAGAAATATACTCTGTTATAGTAAAAGTCCTGCAATCAAAAGGTTACTCAAGTAAAAGTAGAAAAGTATTAGCATCAAAATATACTTAAAGTACCAAAAGTAAAAGTAGTCATTGTGCATATTGGTCCATTTCAGAACAATATAAATGATATGTTTAATAATTATTGATCATTAAAGTTTTATTGAAGCTGGTAAAGGTTTTTATAGTACTTTATTTACTGCTGGGTAGCATATGAATTGAATCCAGGTCTGACTAAATGTATTACATAAATATGAGTAAAAGTACAAAATATACCTCTGAATTGTAATGGAGTAGAAGTACAAAGTAGCACAAAATGAAAATACTTAAGTACAAATCCCTCAAAATTGTATTGAAGAACAGTACTTGAGTACATCTACTACTTACTTTACACCACGGAGTGTGACCCAGGTGAGTCAATGCATCATTGTGCCCTCTCACTGTCTGACGGTTACTACACTTGACCACAAGGTGGCATGAGAGTACTGCTGCACAGGCCTCACAGAGCAAGACGCACCCGTCTTAAACTCAACATGTAACACTCTGCAGCAGAGGGGAAAAGGTGATCCACGTGCCAGTGCGACAGATTGAGGTGCCAGTGCGACAGATTGAGGGGGCAGTGACTTGTCAAACTGATCCAAACCAGCGTCAGGTGAATTCTGCAGGCATGAATATCTATACCGGCACCTAACAGCAGACCTCCTGCACAGCAGAACAACATAATTAGTGGAATAAATGCAGCTGTGATTTGGCAGAGCAAATGAAAATCAGAAATCCATGTGGTAACTCTTCACTGATATGACAGCACATCAAGGCTGTATGTGTTGATTCTCTTTTTCTCACTTTGGAGAGCAACAATGAGTCTGCCTCTCTCCCTCAGGTGATGGCAAACCTTATGATAAGCACATCACAGGCACATCCATCCCAGCGGTATCTGTGAGCACCAGGGATGTGTAGCTGCAGGCAGCCAGAGGAGCAGAGCAGGCATAACAAAGAGCCAGAGGAAGACAGCCGGAGAGCCTGGCAGAGATGAGAGGAGCTGCTCAGCTTTCCCTGTGGCTGCCTCTCAGGAGCACAGGAAGCCAAACAAAGGAGGAAGAGGAGCAGGAAGCACTCCCATAGCACCTGGCTGCTTGGGCCGGGGCAGATCCTCCCTGTAGACTTTTACCTGCTCACATGACCACAAAAAACTGAAACATTGACTTTAATTAAATGTATTATGTCAACATATTTCACATAACTATATTAGGTTAGTTGGAAGCAATGATGTTAAGTTGAACCTATTTAAACTAACCTAATTATGTCAAATCTGTTGACATAATACATTTAATTAAAGTCAATGTTTTTTATTTTCAGTATACATGCAGAGGCTGCAGCAGAGGGGGCTCGGCTCTGTTTCTCCACCAGATGCTACACAGATGCTGAAGTATCACCTGGTATAGGCGTCGCACCAAGGGGATGAAGCAAGTTGCCTACTCATGACAGAATTGAAATTGCTCCTCATTGAAGAGCAGACCTAGATGTCAATCTATCCCTGGGAGAAAAATGTCTTGAGTTCCCTCATTAGAAGTGCAGCCCTGTGAGCCGCCAGGAGCCCCGCGTCTCATCTCAGCCCGACATCTGCATGCAGACAAATGAATAAATAATGACCCGAGCTTTCAAGGCCACATCGGCTCTCACTACTTTGCCAGGACAATGACAGCTCCAGGTTCAAAGACAGGAGCAGGGAAAGCTTTCAAACATCAGGACAGGCTGCCAGCTTCATGTAACGCAGAGGAGAAGATGACTCTGTTGGTGAGCAGGTAACCGCTGGTGCCCCATAATGCTCAGACCTGAGAGCTGTCCCTCTGCAGGGCCTGATGGGACCTTTGGCGAAACCAGGCCATAAAATACTAGAAGGAGACGCTGCGACCTTGTGGGGGTTTCTTTCTCCTCTTCCTCCACCAGTCACCGGTACGCAGGGGACAACTACATTGAGCCGCTTTACCACGAGATCCAGTGCAGCTGATATAAGTCTGCTTCAACGCTGGTCATGAATTCACTCCAAACTGTCCTGGAATTACATACAGTTCTTCTTCCAACCCTCAGTCACCCTTTCTCTCTGGGTCATTTTGTACAAATGGGGTACAGAGCCAAAAGTAGGGCTAATCTGAAATCAACCCCCCCCTTGAACTATAAGAAAGAATCAATGTTTGTGCGTCTCAAATTCTGGCTAAATACTATTTATGTAACTAAAGAATTCTGTCCAAAGGGTGAGATGAAGATTTCCACCTGCTGAAGATATTATGTGTGTTCTGGTTTATTACAGGTTTACTTTCTGACTGAACTGTTTATGAATGTTTTACACATTAGAAACAGTGTTTTATCAGTGGTCTTTGGAAGAGTTGGTTGTGTCTGTAAAAAAAAATCAAATCCTGTCATATTTTTAGCTTAAAATCAACTTCTAATTGTAGATGTCTGGACTGGTTAAGTAGCATCGATTTGCTGCTGACACAATTGGGTCTGAGTAAAACTTGTCCTTATCTCTTCAGATTCAACTTTATTGTCATTACATAGTACATGTACTAGTGACAAAATGTAAGTTTAGGCATCTGACCAGAAGTGCAAAATAGCAGTGCAGGAGTCTACATTAATACATCTTCCAAACTGAAATGAGATCTTATCGTGTTATATGAGGTTTACAATTTCACATATTTGTGTTTCATGCCATCTCTGTAATGAACCATGTTACATATCACGTGCTTGTAAATGGGATTACAAAGAAGAAACACACACTCAAACCCTAAATCAGATCACAGACTGGGGAGGTTTGCTAGCTGTCTTGTCCTGGGGGTTAAAGTCATCATCTGCAGCGTCTTCAGATAAATAAATGACTGCTCTCTTGCTAAAGAATGTCATCATGAATAACATCAACCTGGTTCATACAAGGCTTTATTTATGTAAGAAGCATTGTAGAGATCACTACACTAACTACCACTAATGCTTCTCATTTGACCAACAGCAGCATTTGCAGTAGAATAAATGTGTATTTAACGAGAGAGAAGTGTCAAACTTTATCAACAACAACACAACGAATTTGACTCACTGTTTGATTAGTGATTTCTGGAAATGCAATACTACAGAGTACAAGCTGCCGAGCTGTGGTGACGTAGTCAACATCACACAGTGTCTGTGCCCCAGTTGGCCCTGGGGGGCCCACGTACTGTACAGAATGCTGAGTATCCCGTGGCGTTTCACACTAAACACACTCTCCTCTTCTCAAATAAGAGCGCCAAAATATCTCCACTGTTGGTCTCTATATTTGTCCTGCTCCCCATAGCGTAAGCTCCGGGGGCGGTTTGGGGGGGGGGGAACTGCATCTCATTTCCTTTTTAAATGCATTGAGCTATTTCAAAAGGAAAAACAGATACATATAGATTTCACAGTGAAATGCTCAGGTAAACAGAACTCCTCTTGCTCAATTGGAACACGTAAGGCCTTTTGTGTTAAGTACATTATCATATGTAATGCACTTAAATACATATTTTAGAAATGAATGGGCAAACATCCCTTTAGTGATTGGATGATTCTCCTTCTGCACTCCCTTGCTCTTGTCTAGCCACTGAACGCAAATCTACTTTCACCTTTGGTCACATATTTGATGCCATGTGTTCTCATTAACTATACCTAAAAATCATATTTCCTATATTTAGAGACATTTCTTTTCATGGTGATACTAAAAGTTGTGTTATATTGCTTACAAAATGAGTGCTTGTAGTATAAGGGGCAACTCATTTGAGAAAGGCACATTACTATTTTACATGACTAAAGCAAGTAGGCAGCTCCACAGACAACATTATGAACTTACATGCTACATCATATGTAGAGTAGAGCAAAGGTCCTTTGGCATTGTACAATGTTTGCACAACTGATATCAAGGTCTGTGCACTTCCTGTCAAACATTACTCTATTTCATGCTTTGCCTGCTAAACAAACCACAATGTGCTGATGAATCAGGACCACTTCCTCATTCCTCCCTCTCGCTCTGAGATCAATATTTCCACCGCTGTGGCCAGACGAGACGCTAGAATGAGCTCAACGCTTACGCTGCACCAGGAGCTGTGGAGCTCCAAGAGGCAGAGGGAGGGAAACTCTCTGAACTACAAATGTAGCAAAAGTACTACAAGTGCAGGGGCCATTAAGTTAGTGTACTGACTCTGTGATGTCTGTTACACACTGATTTATTTCTGAAGTCTGGTAACATTAGCAACCATAGCCTAATGTACCAAACCAAGTGAAGCTGTATAGTGACACTCCTAGTGCACTGATGAGCAATAAAACAATGAATTCCACTTCTTTTGATATATGATATGATTCATGTCATTAATGTGCATACATATTCAGCAAACTGACTTAGTTTTAATAGTTACTCAACAGCCTCCATACAAAGATTGATCCTACGTTAGCTAACATTAGCATTATCAAGAGTGTGTTCTATGCTAACATATTGTGATAATAATGAAATATGTTAAATTATAAATGTTAGTATAATAGAAGCACAATGAGCTAAAAAAGTGAGTGATGATGAGGCAGTGATTCATTTCACAGCAATATGCATCTACAGTTTGCTAGCATTAGCTATCCACGAAAAGCTACTTGTTATACTGTAGCACACTAAAGGCTGTAGCCTTGTGTCAAATGATAGATAACAATATCTGTAGCTACATAATCCTGATACCAACCAATAAACAACACTATCAACCCAATCTTATTTGTATCTATACCGTACACAACTCTAACTCTATAGCTTGTAGCCTACAAATCCAGACAATACATCATTTGTATCCTTTTTTTAATGTTTAATTTAAATCTCACCCCTTGATTAATGCTCGACAAGTCAAATGAATTTCCATTTCCCCACTCATTACTTGTTATAAATATTTTAAGAGTTCATTCCATAACTGCTGTTGCATAGGAGGTAGGTCAGCAATCTACATTACTGCTGTTAAAACAAGGAGCCATCAATGGATCCCCTCACAGAGCCACACATGGGACCAACATTCAGTCCAGCTTTTCTTCAATTTTGTCTCAAAGGTTGCTTAGTTTCTCTTTGCAGGACACTGCTCTGTCTGCAGAATGAAGCTGCTGATAGTTCTCAGATGTGGCCCATATGAAGGCAACAGCCCATAACCACAGAGCAGAAGCTGCCCAGAGACCTGAAGTGACTCCAGCTAACTTGAATGATGGGCTTCGGTCAGACTGCCTTGCTCTTTAACAACTCCCTTCCTCATTTGGATCCACTGTGTCAAGTCCACAGTCCAGAGCTGAAGCTATGTTTTATCGAAGCTGCCATTTGCTCATGTTTGTTTGAACGGCAGGATTACATCGAGGGGGTGTTAGGAAAACAAGCGGCCAAGGAAGCATGAGGGAGCACTTCTTTAGCACTTAAAGGCCAAGGGAGAGTAACCTAACACTGAGCTTCACCTTGGAAGTACTTCTCTGTGACCTCCGCTTGAACTCCGGTGCAATAAAGTGTGGAGCAGTGAAACACTCATGAAGGATCTTATCAACAGCTATGATAGTGAGTGCAAAGCTGGCAGACAACCCTGCGTAAGCCAATAGAGATTTGATAGAGGATATAGTGGAGTAATGGAGCGGCAACAATGGCTGACACATACATATATAAACAGTCATACCCACACAAAGAAATGACAAAGAGAACTGAAATGTCTCCCAGTCATGTTTGGGCTGCTCTCCCAGCTGATAGCTCAGCTCTGTATATCCATCCCACATGATTTACAGCTGCACACTCAGCAGGCCTATCAAAGGTCCATCAATCGAATGGCGACGGTGGTTGTGTGCCACACTCTGAAGGTAATAATTACGCATTACTGCTGAGCCTCTTTATCTCGCAGCTCTGTTTGTGCAGCGGAACTGAATTATTTCCACAGAAAAGCTAAATCCTGTCATGAAGCTCCAACCATTGCAACATGCCGACTTGCTCTGTGAATGTGATCACCATGGCAACGCACCACTTTCTCTTCTCTCCTTCCAGTTCTGCTTCCTCTGCCCTCTTCCACCAAGCTCTTCACAAATGATTCTGACATCACTGATGGAAAAATCTCAAGAGGTAAGACAGCCTGGGAACATGGAGCCAAAAGGTCACAAGTTCAAGCTCTGCAACAGCCAAGATGTGATGTCACAGACATGACTATGCTACAGTCAAGTGAATACCTCATATATATGTTTCCCCTACCATTGTCACTTTTCACATTGAACATGTGCTCTTTTATTAAATAAACTAAACGCTTTGATTTTAAGTTGTGAGTTTAGTGTTTTTGACCCTAAGAAACACTGATGCATTAACCAATAACAATAATCCACAGCTCCTCTCTCTGCTCCAGAGGATTTAAAATATATATATCCCAATGCCCCCCCCCCCATGCTCAGGCAGCACCCCCCCAAAGCAGTAAACCTAGGGGAAACACTGATATACCTATATACCATCTATTGTGAAAAAACAAACAAATCTCAACCAGGGAAACAAAGAAAGCTCCTTCTCAACCTCCATTTGCAATTAAAGAGTCAATTTGGAGATACAAGGTTTTCACGTGACAGCAAGGCCTGAAATCCAGATGGAAATTTGCCTCATTAAAGCGAGTAAACAGCAGCGCTCTGAGGAGGCAAAGCTATTCTTTGTAAATTGATTTTGCCTTACACTTCCCCTCAGGTGGGAAATCTGCTCATTTTGATATTATTACATCTGCGCTGAGCTCCATCAGTGAGCGAGAGGTTCCCTCACTGATCTTTACACTGTAAACAACAACAGCCTACAGTCTGCAGGGCGTCTGCCCAGGTGGATTAGGGGAGGATGATTAGAGGATTGGCTGTTCATCCTTGTCAGCACTGTGGAGCTGCGCCGCCATGAGACAGAGCTCAACCTCTCGCCCACTCACTGCAACCGCACACCATTAAAACGTTATGGCCATACACAGCGCTGCTGTAATGTATTGGTTGTAATCCCTTTGTGACGGCTGCACACCTTCACTGCGGCAGGGTATCACTGCTAATGGTCGATAGATCAGAAATGTCAGAATGTCTGACAAGCATGCTAGAATTAGCATATGCATATTTATAGGGCCGGATTATAGATGTCAGTGTTTCCGCTGGGATGAAATGAGCTAGTTAGGGTAGTTGGCAGTGGCAAGGAGACAGACAGAGCCAGAGGGAATAACTTCAGAGGGCAGCTGTACCCTGGGAGAATCCTGAGCCTCCAAACGCATGCAGTGCTTTTCACATTACTCCCAGCGTAGATGATTGAAAAAAACAGCACCACAGCCTCCTGCATTTTGACTATCCTAGTGCATTTGGGCTCACACATTCAGACTCATTACACAGATCTCCAGCAGTGCATAAAGCAGATTCATAATATCAAAGCACATCTGTGCCCTTTGGTGATGCTGTAAATCTTGTACTGAACACCCCTGCTTCAATTACATGATGATTTAATGACTGCTAATGCAGACCTGGAGAGCAGGGCACTGCGATGTAATTAGCCATGGTGGGATTGAGTGTAATGGCTACATTGTGTGTTACAAGAGAATGACAATGTTTCACACTCACCTCTGGCCCTTGCTCCTGCACATGGCAGGACTCGCTGTCTCCCTCTGAGAAGGAGCCCGACTCGTCGCTGGAGTTGGTGCCGTAGGACTGCTCGCATTTGATCTTAGGCCGCACCTGGTTAAAAAGGGCCTCCCCGCCCACACTTTGCTCCTGCTGGTCCACATTGAGGCAGCGTGCCACGTTGGAGCACGGAGAGGAGGAGAACTCAAACTGGGGCAGGCTGCAGGGAGAGCCCCCGCTGCCGTCCTCTGCATAGGAGTACGAGGAGCAGGAGCTGGAAGTCCTGGTGCGTGTTTCACAAGGCGGTGAGCGTGGGCACACTTTGATTGGCACTGGGCAGCTGGTGTTGGGTCTCGGGTGGCACAGGAGTAGGGGGTCGCTGGAGGTGGTGCTGGGAGAGTAGGTCTGCGACGTGGGGAGGGACTGGCTGGCTCCGGCCCACAGGCCCTTTGGCATGTGCTCAGAGAGCTCCATCTCCAAAGAGTTTCCACCAGGGTAGGAATGTGCTGGGGTTCCCAGACGTTTGCATGCCCCTGAGGAAAATATGACACTACGGCGATCAAGCTCAACTTCCTGTTTGCAGACCCCATCACAGGAAGCGGACTTGAGGGACAACCCTGCAGGGAAACTGTCAACGTCCTTTGGGGATGTAACAGGCAGACCCAGCTCCCCAGTGAAAGGCCTGAAGTCTTTTTTATGATCTCCCTGAGAGTTTACTTTGTCCTGGGGACAGACAAGTCTGTTGGTGAATAGCTGCTGTGAAGTGTTGGGCAGGTCCACCCCTTTCTTGAAGAAGGCTCGGAGGCAGGAAGGGGACTTGGTTCTCTCCACAGATATGGGGTTATCCATCTCCATGCTCGTCACACTGTCCTTATCCCTGCCCCCCTGCTCATCCCCTGACAGGCACAATGAGATGGCCTCTTCGTCTACCTGTGGTTCAACTTTGATCTGTGCCAAAGGCAGCCTGTCCTGACCCGGCAGTGCCCCGCTGACGCTGCTCTCTTTTAATGTGCTTGGAAAACCTGAGGTACTGGTGTGTGAGGATGTGTCATTATTGTGCTTGTTGCAGGCCCACTGGTATTTCCTGTACTTTGGGCATCGCGGCAGGTCTGATGCTCCGTGCCTGTCAAAGTCCAGCCGGCCATCGGAGAAGTTACTGGGAATAGCCATTGCTAGCCGATCCTCGTCAGGGTGTTCAAAGGAAGTGAGGGCTTCGGCGCGCCGTCGTGCCTTTGGGGAGGTGGGTTTCTCCACCTCAGACTGCATGCTCTCATCCTGTGAGTTGTTCACTTCTGCTGCCGCCACCTTGTGGCAGAGCAGCAAGCCGTCCTCCTCGCGGCGCAGCTGTGCTTCCAGGAAGCGAAAGCATGAGTCCTCCAGGTTGTGCATGCGCAGGAATTCGGCACAGCGGATGACCTCCTGGATGTTTTCTCTGCTGAGTAACAGCTTAGCAGTGTAGGCAAACTGCAACAATGGAGCGAATCCCCTGGCAGTGACCTGCAAAAAAACAGGGAAATTGCCAGCATTACCATCAGCACAGTCATTGTTCAGACCACTTGGAGTGTGGTGAGACAACCTGACAGCTCCAACAACCATAAACAAACAGTGTCAAAAATGCTTCATTGTTTATCAGGTCAGCACTGAACATTCCATACAGCTGAATAAGAAAGGGTGCTCTGTGGGTGTCGGCAGGTTGTGTGTCCAGCCTCAGAATCAGAATCAGAATACCTTTATTCGTCCCACAGAGGGGACATTTAAATAGCCGCTCATGTTCATAACACCAACCTCTGGAACATTCAGCCATCTGCCACTGTCTGTGGCCATGGCATTGGTTTAGGCTACACCCATTCCTGTCAAGTCATGGTAATTCTTTAAAAACAATCAGCAAATATCTTTCTGTATTGTTTGGTTAATGATATGTTGCAATTGTTAACCTTAGCACCAAAGTGTTGTTATGACAAAGATGTTTCATTTATAGGAAGCTTGTGAATAAATATTATTTGTATACAACACTGATTTGAGCGTAATGTACTGTTAGCGCCCCGGTCAGGACTTGGCCCCAAAGCCTCACTTTCTGTGTCAGTGCCCTGGTCCTCAGGTCAAGTGCCTGTAAAGCCTAATGGTGTGTAAGACTCAGGCTTATCCCCGTTGTGGCCATGTGGCGCGGGATGATAGAGGGAAGCCTTCCATTTAGACTTAATGCCAGATAATTAGGTAAACTCCTGAGCCTGCAGAAGTCCTGGCTGCCCGGCTGCTGTTGTCGCACAGCGCTGAGACCAGAGACCAGAGAAAGACCACAACGCTTGTCTGCTGTTTGGAGATCAGCTTGAGATTCACACTAGGTTGCATTCATCCATTCACTCAACCAATCCCTGCAGCTTTATCCCGGTTAATGATTTGGTGACAAACACATTACGGTTTGGGCAATGCAATCAAAGCACACACATAGAAAAGGAGCAGTAACACAATTGCAATGCGTTCACTTTGAGACGGTATTGTTTGCTCTACAAAGCACCTTTTCAGAGGCTGAGTGATGTTACGCTTTCCTTTCAAGATTGAACAGAGCTTGCCGTGGCAGAGGATGAGCGGAACAATGTGTTTTTAATGAGCCAACTGTATATGGTGATTATTGTTTCCCTTTGTTGGGGGGAACAAGAAGATGAATGACCCTACAGTGGGTGGACAGTATAACCCAGAGGTGTGGACTCGAGTCAGACTCGAGTCACCAATTTGATGACTTGAGACTCGACTTGGACTTGAGCGCAAAGACTTGAGACTTGACTCGGACTTGCAAAACAATGACTTGGTCCCACCTCTGGTATAACCTGTGAGCACTGCAGCAGCTTCCAGCGTCCCTGCCAGACTCCCCACTAGTAAAACAGGAATTCCCCTCTGCAGTAATCAAGCTTCAAAAACCTCAGAATTTGTGGATTTTTCCGCTTAGGAAAAACAACTAAGCAGTATGATCGAGGAAACTCAAATATCTCAGTAAAAAATTGCTTGAGGTCACTACATAGAGTCTGAGAAGGAATTCAATCATCTGGCTTTTCAGGAAAATGAGTAAACATGTGCAATCGGTTGTTGCTTTTTGATTTGTATAGGTCTAAACCAGGGGTGTCAAACTCAAGGCCCGCGGGCCAAAACCGGCCCGTGACCTAATTTTACGTGGCCCGCAAGAGATACCAAAGAATATAATATACAATATGTATAATTGTTCAATATTTGCTCTCAATTACTTGCCCTAGACTTACAGACGTGATTCATGAAGTTATTACCAGAACTGCTAATAATCCAATGCAGAGCCAATAATGTAATATAATACATTTTATATATTTATATATGTATATTTATATAGTGTTAAAGTTACAACCGGCCCTTTGAGTGCAAACATAATGCTAATGTGGCCCGCAATGAAGTTGAGTTTGACACCCCTGGTCTAAACGTAGAAGAGGCAATCGTTTATTGACTTTGTTGTTCACTTGCAAACAAATTAAAATAATATATACTAGAGGAGCACACAATAGAGTATGTGTTTATGCCAGTTTCAATGGAACTTGACCCTAAAATACAGACAGGGATTATGTGATTAGAAGAGATATGACGATTAGAGCTTTAAACTGTAAAACACCCAACTTGACTTTCAGCTTAACTCAATGATCTACAAGTTAATGTCTCACAATTCAATCTGAAGTCAGTTAGGTGCTTTCTCCTAATGTTTTAAAACAAACCCACATCTTTATTCACTTTGCCATTTAATCATTAGTCTGAAAGCAGTAATCAGTGTGGAGATCTTGTGACTGTAAATGAACAAAGCCAATGTTATAAAACATGTCCATATCAGGAGATGTTTGTTTTTTAGGGGGGTTACACACACACGGTGAGATCTCTCACCATTCACTTGTTTTTCTTCTCTCTCCGTTACACATTACTCTGTTCCATGAGCCACCGTTGCTTGGAAGCCATCTGTGAGTCTCTCTTTAAAAGCTATAAATAAATGTATTTTTCAGACTCTTATTGAGGCACTTCTTCTTGACAGCAACAGCTGTCAAATAATATCCATATTTCTTTCAACTGGCCTGTGACAGCTAGAAATATTCCCAGATGGGTATGTGCGAGTTTCTACTCCTGGCCTTATTATCTACACTGCCAATGTAGTGGTGACTACAGTTAATCCACCATGCTATAAAAGAGATGTAAATGTACTCTTCAATAATTGGATGATCTCTATGATATTGAGTTTAATTATTTTGTTAATTTACATTTCACATGTGCGTTTTTCCATTGTTATGGCAACAGACAGCACAATGTTTATGATGTTATAATCATACCTGCAGCTCCAGCATTGACAGGTGTGTGATATGCTAAATACACAGCTGTTTGCATACAGTGTGTAATGTGTGATGCGTACAAGATATTTCTGTATTTTTGCAAATGTAGGCAGCGCTCCTCCATCTTTCTTGTGTTAACAGAGCATCCACATTCTGCAGCTCCCAGCATGCCTCTGGTTTAAAGCACCTTGCAGTGCGCCCTGCGTAACAGACAGTCCAACGGCAGCAACCATATCAGTCATTGTTAAGAGAAATCTGCTGACTCCATATCTGTGAGGGGAATGGTGTGTGTGTAGTTGTAGTGTACGTGTATGTGTGTGTGCTAGGGTAAGTGGGTGGGTGAGAGTGTGTGAGGGATTGGGGTGAGGGTAGAGGCTCTGAGTGCTCTATCTGCTCTATTGATGAGAGCAGCACATCCCCTACTACTAATGCTGCAACACACACACACACACACACACACACACACACACACACACACACACACACACACACACACACACACACACACACACACACACACACACACACACACACACACACACACACACACACACACACACACACACACACACACACACACACACACACACACACACAGTAATGGTGAGGCAGAGCTGCAGTAAAGCTGCTGGAGAGAAAGTGCTGAGCGTACCAGGGATCTATTTTCAGCTAGTATCAGCAGCTGCTGTCTGCGGGAGAGATCTTTATGTGTGCTCTGCACCATATGTGATTACTCCACTGTTATAACCAGCACATCAGCCTAATGAAGGAAAGCATAACATGAGAGACGCAGGGTGGGGGGGTAAATATGAGGGAGGATGGACAGAGCACAGAAGAAAATCAAAGAGGGAGGGAGACAGCCAGAGCTTAGGAAACTGTTAAAGAAGGAAGAGGAGGACAGGGAGCCTGATCACTATCCGCATGCATGAAGCATTTCAGCTGTTAGCAGCACTTAGTGTATGAATTAAGACAAAGAGAGAAATTACTCAACGGGACAGATTGGGGCCATTTTAGGATAAGAGGGCTCTGATCTGTGTCTGGACTGGACATGAGATACCATTACAGGGCAGGAAACTATAGGCAGCGGCCAATCACAGAGCCGGACAGTTTGCATAACATTTCTGGGGAGCCTGCCAAACAGCCTTTCATTAACAGGCTGAGCAATACTACACCCTCCCTCTCCACCCTCCTCTCTCACCCAGTGCTCCTCTCCTACATCGGCCTTTCGCCTCTATGGAAGAAATGGCTAATTTATGCAAATGTACTCCAGTGAATTCCTGCATGTCATGCATGCTAATGAGTACATGGCATGGCATGACAATGGAGTGCAGGAGGAAACACTCAGTCTCTACTGACATTAACCTTTGTGTTTGCAGGCAGACAAAAAAGAGCCTGAGTCACAGCGCTGATGGAGATGAAGCAGGCTGTACTGTATACACACTGACCACACTGAGGGTTCAGCTTTGTGCTGGAGGAAATGACTGGAAGTGTGCAGAGGAAAAGGCCTGCTGCACGACAGAACATCTCTGTGGCCGAAGGAAATTATGTTATTAAGTCAGAAAATACCTGACAAGCTTGCGTCACTTTAGAAATGCACTGCAATGTAACTAAGTATAGCTTATTATTACCATACCAGATTTTGCATTTACAAATCAAATGTTTTACAATAGTTCACGAAACATAACGTGGTATCTAAGATTATTTGATTGGTTTCAAGAAGAATTTTTTTTCAATTATTTCTGTATGGTATAAACAAATAATAATTCAAAACTTCCATTCATTAGATTATCAATCACTGTCAACACATGTTTTTATTGTTGTCCAAAAGTTTCATTACTGCAATAAGCAACAATGAAAACATTAAATCAGACATGGAGTCATCCATACAGTAACTATACTTCCAATATCTGCAAGCTAGGGAGTAAAATGTACTAAAATCAATAGCTATATATATTTCTTCTCAGTTGGCTTGGATTTTTTAATCGGTTATTAGTATTTTCCTGCTTTTTTTGTACTCAGTGACCAATTTTCTAGAAGCCTTTACGCATCTGTAAAGAAAACCCATGATTTAAATTGATGCATTTGCACGATTGGTTGTGGGAAATCTCGGTTTTACAGAATAAATAGAACATGACCAACTTTACCGTGACTCAACATTCAACTAAATAA